CGATAGCTTTGTAACAGGATCTCTGAGAATGCTCCAAATAATGACTTCGATACAAGATGACTGTGAGTCAGTGGAGGGGGAACCTACAAATCCACGAGCAAATTGATAGAGCAAGTTATATCTCTGGAACTTGACCGATTTTGATGTTTTTGATGTTTTTTTTTTAATTTGGGCTACCTTCTTACGTACATCACAAATATGCATTTTGTTAATAAATAAAAATTTAAATTAATCCAGTAATTTGTTTAAACATTAACAATTTTTATTAACATCTATTGTAATATTTTGTAATGGAATATTATAGGAATAATTAAATATCATTTTTTAATAAATTAATATACAAATTAACTAAGTATTTTGTTTAAACTTTTACCAAAAAAAAAAAATCTAAATTATCAACATTTTTGGAGTTATTTTGAAGTTATAGATATAGGTTCAATTTTTTTCTTATTAATAAATTAACATTTAAATAACTGGATCGGCTTGATCGCAATCTATGAATAGTGAGATTGGAATAACTTTATCTCTGTTTAAGTCTTATTTCAGTATAAGTTACCTGGGGCCTATTTTCTGAAAATACTTTTAACTTTTCGCCTTTCATTTTACAAATCTAGAAAAGCGAAGAATAATTCTGTTTTATAAAAAAAATTACTTTATATAAATGTTGTGTTTTAAGAAACTTTAGCAATTCATTTTTACTACACTAGTGGAAAAAATTAAGGGATCAAAAAAAAAATCAAAATTTTCGGCGATTTTTCAAATGGTCGTATTGGAGTAAAAAAAAAAGCAATTTGAAGCTTGAAGTTTCTAATTTTTGGATCTTGCAAAAAAAAAATTTTCAAGGAACACGTATCGCGCAATCTTAATAAATATTATGAAAAAAAATTTAATTTTTTTCGATCTTATTTTTGGTGTACGGACTTGAAAAAAATTTTGCCAACTTAACCACCTTATGGATTAGATAGGTTGTTCATTTAGCTTCAACATCTTTTTTTTTTTGGTCTCGATACGACCATTTCTCGCTGAGCTATCGAACTTTGAATGAAAATGGATCATTTTCTCTTTGTTCATCGATATCTCAGAAACCAATGGTTGTACAGAAAATCGACGGTGGGTGTCAGAAACTTGAATGAATTCTCTACAAGGTCCTGGCACAGTTTTTTAGAAAAGAATTTTTTTTTATCCTTAACATGACTGAAAAATCGTAAAAAATAGGACTTTTAGGGGTCTTCTAGAAAATGACTAATGTTAAGTGTGTCTTTTACAGGTCATTGTACCCCGTTTGAAAAATCGCCGAAAATTTAGATTTTTTTTATCCCTTAATTTTTTCCACTAGTTTATGCGGATTACCAACTGTTTTTTGAATATGAATTTTGAAAACAGAAAAGTGAAAAGTAAGGAGTGAAAAGTTGAAAAATACTTACAAAAGACAGGTCCCAGATGGTACAGTATAATTGGTTTGCATTAGATAAATTTCGTCAATTTTCAGGAGTTCCCCAAGGGTCCGTTCTGGGGCCACTCTTGTTTGTTACTTTCATTAATACTCCAATTAAATACGTTGATGTCAATTACTTGCTCGATGCGGACGACCTTAAGTTGTTTTTGGAAGGTAAATCTTCTAGAGATTTAATAATCTACCTCTGAAGACAAGCAAATGTGAAATTGTGCCATGCACTCGACGGAAAAATATCCTTGNATTAGAATAAATTTGGTGCTATTATATTTAGAGAGATTATTTTTCCATATTCGTAAAGCTGGTATTTTTACACAAATTTAAAAAAAAAGTTTCTCTAACTTAATTTGGGGCAATGTTAGACACTTTTTTAAAAAAATCACAGCTACTTTGTTTATAACAATTAAGACTTCTAATAAGTGCCATTTCGAAGTTAAAGAGCTAAAGTTTCTGTGTCAAATTTTTGAGGACGATAGCTTTGTAACAGGATCTCTGAGAATGCTCCAAATAATGACTTCGATACAAGATGACTGTGAGTCAGTAGAGGGGGAATCTGCAAATCTACAAGCAAATTGATAGAGCTCTGGAACTTGTTGACCGATATTGATGTTTTTTTTTTAATTTGGGGTACCTTCTTACGTACATCACAAATATGCATTTTGTTAATAAATAAAAATTTAAATTAATCCAGTAATTTGTTTAAACATTAACAAAAATTTTTATCAACATCTATTGTAATATTTTGTAATGGAACATTATAGGAATAATTAAATTTCATTTTTTAATAAATTAATATTGCAATTAACTAAGTGTTTTGTTTAAACTTTTACCAAAAAAAAAATCTAAATTATCAACATTTTTGGAGTTATTTTGAAGTTATAGATATAGGTTAAATTTTTTTCTTATTAATAAATTAACATTTAAATAACTGGATCGGCTTGATCGCAATCTATGAATAGTGAGATTGGAATAACTTTATCTCTGTTTAAGTCTTATTTCAGTATAAGTTACCTGGGGCCTATTTTCTGAAAATACTTTTAACTTTTCGCCTTTCATTTTACAAATCTAGAAAAGCGAAGAATAATTCTGTTTTATAAAAAAAATTACTTTATATAAATGTTGTGTTTTAAGAAACTTTAGCAATTCATTTTTACTACACTAGTGGAAAAAATTAAGGGATCAAAAAAAAATCAAAATTTTCGGCGATTTTTCAAATGGCTGTATCTTTGATAAACATGGTCGTATTGGAGTAAAAAAAAGCAATTTGAAGCTTGAAGTTTCTAATTTTTGGATCTTGCAAAAAAAAATTTTCAAGGAACACGTATCGCGCAATCTTAATAAATATTATGAAAAAAAATTTAATTTTTTTCGATCTTATTTTTGGTGTACGGACTTGAAAAAAATTTTGCCAACTTAACCACCTTATGGATTAGATAGGTTGTTCATTTAGCTTCAATTTCTTTTTTTTTTTTGGTCTCGATACGCCGTTAACCTTCT